AAAAAAAAAAAAAACCTTAAATTTTGGATGCAAAAACCAGATTTCAATTAGGCTGAAAAAATAATTTCAGAATCACTAGGGATAAAAGCATTTTGATGGATTATATAGTAATATTAATAAATAAAGTTATGCACAGATTACTTTTCAAACAATCTACATATATTATAAATAAATTTTATTGTTTCATTACTGTATCTTTTTTTCAGTGATCCAAAAGGCCTTGGTGTCATCCTTATGAATTTTTTTTTGAGACAGTGTTTCCCTCTGTTGCCCAGGCTGGTGTGCAGTGGCACGCTCATGGCTCACTGTAGCCTCGACCTCCCAGGCTCAGGCCATCTTCCTACCTCAGCCTGCCAAGTAACTGTTACTACAGGCATGTGCTAACACGCCTGGCTAATTTTTGTGCTTTTTGTAGAGTCAGGCTTTCACCATGTTGCCCAGGCTGGTCTTAAAGTCCTAGGCTCAAGCAATCTGCCCACCTCAGCCTCCCAAAGTGCTAGGATTACAGGCGTGAACCACTACTCCTAGCCTCATCCTTATGGTTCCTAATTATCATAAATGTATCAGTTAATATGGAGCTAAATTTAATAAAGCCTATACAGCACATTCTATGCCCTTGTGATGTGTAGGGTCTCTTTTCAAAATAACTAATGAATCCTTAGGACAAAAAACATTCAGTGAGCACCTACTGCTGGCAAGTTTCTGTGTTAATCACTCAGTTCTTCTCATACATGGTCTGGAACTATAGCTTGACGTTTGAGCCAATTGTCATTGGACATCTATCTAGGCCAGGTGCAGTGGCTCACTCCTGTAATCCCGGCACTTGGGAAGGTTGAGGCAGAAGGATCACTTGTGGCCAGTACTTCAAGACCAACCTGAGCAACATAGCGAGACCCCCATTTCTACAAAAAATAAAAAATAATAAATTAGCAGGTCATGGCAGTTTGTACAATAAATTAGCAGGTTATGGTGGTGCATGCCTGTAGTCCTAGCTACTCAAAAGGCCGAGGTAAGAGGATCATTTAAGCCTAGCAGTTTGTGGTAGCCTGAGCAACAGAGTGAGACCTGTCTCTAAAAGAAAAAAAAGTTAGATGTCTGATAAAAGATCTACCAATAATCTTTTAGTCCTAAATAAGTGTATGTATATACATCTATATATAAATGAAAAGTTTATAAGAATGTATTTTAAAAGTATCACTCAAAAGTGTATGCTAATTTTATGGCATCATCTATATCTTGCTGATTGAGAAAACAAATTCTGCTCATATTCAATGGATATTTTAATGGACTAATTGTGATCCTGAAATCTGCTTACGTAAATTTAATAGTTAAAATTTGGCTTTACATAAAAAAATGAAATCATATCCTTTGCAACAACATGGATGCAGCTGAAGGCCATTATTCTTAGTGAATTAACACAGAAGCAGAAAACCAAATACCACATGTTCTCACTTACGAGTGGGAGCTAAACACTGGGTACACATGGACCGTTATGAATTCATGTGACCCCAAATTAGACACTGGCAACTCCAAAAGGGGGAAGCATGGGAGGAGGGCAAGGGTTAAAAAGCTACCTATAGGGTACGACACTCATTATTTGGGTGACAGGATCAATAGAAGCCCAAACCTCAGCATCACACAATATACCTGTGTAAGAAACCTACACAAGTACCCCCTAAATCTAAATTTTTTTTAAAAAATTGGCTTTAAGTGATAGTCTAGCAAAAAATAGCCAATCACATTTTTGTTTCCTAAGCTTTCTTTTTCAATTATACAATTTAAGTGCTTAAAAAATTACTGACTTTTATCAAAGAATTACTAGCCCCAATCTCCTACTTAAAAAATTTATTTAAATAAAATGCATCACAATAAACATAAAAAAGAGTACTTTTTCAGCAGTATTTTAATTGAATGCAACAAATTCTGAGGGCCTTCTATGAACCAAAAACTGTCCTTGGCACTTAGTGTACAAAAACAGGACATAGTCTCTGCTCTCCAGAAGCTTAAAGGCCAGAGGGGGAATAAACACCTAAATCGATAAATAATTTCAACACAATGTGGTAGAAGTATCCACAGAAAGAAGAGGCCTTTAGCCGAGGTAGAGGGACATGAGGGACTGGGTAGGGGTGATCGCCAGAAGGCACTAGGAGGAGGTCATCAGAAGAAGGTCATCATACAGCCTTCATGGTGATGATGTCTGAGCAGTCTTGAAAGATGAGTAGGCATAACCAAGCAGAGAATGGGTGAACATAATAACAAAGACATGGAAGTGTGAAATAGCATATTGGATTATAGGAAGCACAAGCACGAATTTTGAAAATTTATGTTCTACCAGGATCCCATGGCCTTTTTTTGGCTTTTGGTCCTTAAAACCTTCATATCTCATCCTCTATATGCTCACAATGGAGGGGGAACAAATTCCATCAGCTAGAGGACTTATCTCTGTTAATCTCAACCATCCAGAACATGGAAAGGGGCCCGAAACAAAAAACTGCTACTACAAAATCCATGTGGTAAGAAATAGAAGCTGACATCAAGAAGGAGGCAAAAATTGTACAATATCCTGGGAATATTTGGTGTAGGGGCATTCAGCTTTACATAGCTCAAAACCCCTGTGAAAATATACTATGGAATAATACACGATCTGATAGAACAATGTCTCAGAGTTGCTGAGATAAACTTATCTCTTGTGTACCTTGCTTATAAAGCAGGGGGCTGTGTAATAAACATACTTAGAAAAATCTTTACCCAATATTGTTAAAAATAAAAAGGCTTTACATTAAATTGGAAGTCAGCCATTATCTGTGAAATTCATGTTTGTGAACCACCTCATTTCCCAACCATATCAGACAGAAGAGATGTTAAAGTACAAATAATAAAATTTAGCGATTCGTAAAGAATCTTTGGGTAGAAAATAATTAAAGTTGTGAGAAAATTAAAAAGAAATTAAAATTAAAAAGTTATAGCTTCTGATTTAGTATATGCATTAAAATCTTCATTTCTACATGACAAGATTTCTATTTCAAAAACGTATTCATCTGATATCTTCATACAAAGTCTCAATAAATTAATTAAAAGATAAATGAATTTATTAAATGACTTTATATGCTGAACGAATGATTATAATAAACTGCACAATAAACTGTTATGAATCAATGTGATCCCCAAATTGAGCAGAAAATAAAGGTATTCCATGAAGTATTCTACTTTCTTACATTGCCAAGAGAGGTATACACTACAGACCAAATCTCTATTCTAGACTGAGATCAAAACAAGATGATATAAAAATACTTAGTTTTAAATATCAAAAACATGGGTCAGATTAGTCCATTTTTGGTAGCTATAATGAACTAGATATTTTACCACATCAAATATTCTATCCTCAAGGACCTGACATTAAAACAGCCAAATTCACATAATTAATCTCTTTTTAAAATTTAAATGTTAAAAGTTTTTGCATTAAATATACTCTATACTATCTATTTCCATGGACCTATAAATTTAATCTAATCATGTAAACACAACTTTTTAAAATCACTGATCTATATTCTCTTTCCATTTATAATTTTTTATACATTCTGAATTAAATTCTACACAAGTTTTCATTCTTTTCTTCTTCAGGGAGTCTTCATCCAGGCTTATTAAATATCTGTATTAGTACACCAATAACCTAAGATATGCTGTTTATTTTCTTTATTTCGCATTAAATAAATGAATTTGGAAGTATTAACATTTATAAAGAAATACTCCAGTTTCTATGGATTTGCACGGTTCTGTACATTATCCTTAATATGTGGTATAGTTAAGTCTAGGAAAAATAGTGTCAAAGTACTGATTTATAATTTCATAAATACAAATAAATCATTGTGTAATAAAGCATAAGAGCTCTTCAACAATTATTTTTCCCATTGTATACAACAGCCCGATTTTCCCCCCTTGCTATTGGCCAGTAAAACCTTTGTTAAAAGTTACACTTTAATAAACCATTATTTAAATGTTAAAATGCAAAAAAAGTTTTTTTTTTTTTTTACAAACAGTGAATGTAATCAGACTATATAAAATGCAAACATTTTTAAGTTTCTAAACCCTAATAATTAAAAAATTTAAAAGCATAAGGTTTTTGATATTTTAATAACTTCATATACTCTAAAAATAAAGCTGCCAAAGATCAGTTCATTGTTAGAGATCCTTTCATTATTATGAAGAAAATATCCACAATCTTCATATTTATCAAAGTAACCTTTTAGTTAGGCGTCAATATCTCATTTTAATAGAATGAAATTCTGATTTTCTAAATACCACCATCCCCCTGAGTTGAGATGCATTAGCCATTTTCAAGGCTTTAGAAACACTTGTTGAAAAGACCACTGAAGAGTTTACAGAAGCAGTGTGAAATTTTAGGTAACCCAACGAAGCACAGAATAAAAAATGTTTGAGAAGCGAGGATAGTTTTATGACTTTCAAAATTAATTCAAATGAAACTCTTGATGTGAACTTGATTTTTGCGTTGAGTAAAGATTTATTAGAAGATCAAGTTCCAAGGGAAATGCAAGTGCCAACCCCTTTCAAATGTACCTTTCCCGTATAACACCATTTACCCTTGGAAGAAAACAAGTCACTCAGATTAGCTCAATTCCAATGAACACTGAGGCTATACGAAGGAAAAAAATATCCAAAAGGGTTGGTTATTCCACCCCAGATTTGCAGCTATTTCAGGGACACCCCTTAAGTGCTCTTACTCTGCAGACGTAGGGTTGACCCCCCATGTCTGACAACCCTTTAGAAATAAAATTGCAAAGAAGTTATCACTTTCCAAAGAGCGGAGGAAGGACAAGTGAGAATCGACTAGCTTTGCCCTCGGAAATACCTCATATTTACTTTTGACAAAAGAAATAAATAGAAGCAAAACCGAGATTCAGAAGAAACTCTTTCTGCTGCCTGCACCGGTCAAGCTTCTCAAAGACCCGGGAGAAAAGAAGTGGGCTGCAGGCTCACCTTCCATGTCGCTGCTGGGCCGGGCTGGAGCTGCTGCTTTGGCTACCCGGCCTCTCCACGTGCTCCTGCCGTCGCCGGGACACAGCTCGCAGCTGGCGGGAGATTCCCGGCGCGGGGAGTCCCCGGGATCCGGCCGCCGCGTCGGCGCAGACTGAAAGGGGCAGGAGCCGGCGACCTGCCGGTACGCGGGGTTACAGCGGCGCTGGCTGGCGGCGGCTTTAAAGGACGCTGTCCGCGGAGTGCCTCGGGTTCCGCGCCTCCAGCCCCTTTTTGAATGTCAAACCCAAGGAACCTTGACAGGATGGAAATGGCGCATCACTAAATTGTCTCAAAATGTCTATTTTAGAAGGATAATGGATGAGAAGAGTAATATCACACGGAGGATGGAGGGTCTGCACTGGTTTCTTGGCAAGCTCAAGTTCAGACGTTTATCTTAAATTGAAGAAGATCTGGAACTTTTTGCCTATATTTGGTGATAACAGCCGTGAAAAGTACCCATGAGAACTCCCTTCTTTCAAAGTATTTTTTTTTTCCTTCCTCACTTTTTCATTTCACATAGTAAGAGGTTTTGGTCCAAGTTTTTAGAAAGACAGTCCGAATGGATTTTGGCACTTTTATCAATCCAAATGTTTGATTTTTGGAAGCAATTATGTCACTTTTGTTTTCCCTCTGGGAACTGCTTGGTTTATTTGCCACCACTCACACAATACTACCCGCTCTATATAAATAGAATGAGTGTTTAATAGAGTGTGTTTATTTTCTCTCAGCCTGCCTTCTTCCAAATAGACACCTTACAAAAATACATATATGATGTTTCAGAAAAATGAGCAAAGAAAGTAGAGCTAAGGGTGGAAGGTGGGGGTAATAAGATAGGAAAATTAACTTAAAGATGTTAGTACACAGATATGTACCAGTCAACGTCTTTTCCCAACATCCTCCCTACTGTCTAGAGAAAAAGCACACATTTGACTGCAGAGAGAGGCAAGGGGACGTGACCACACAACTGTTTTCAAAGCAGAACTTTTCTTCACATTGAGGTCTAAGGGACATTGTTCAGGTGAGCCCTTCTAAAGATACCCAGTGTGCTGGACAATACACGAATGAGTATCAAAAGGCCACTGTCACCCTTATTAGAAAATCGTATTAGTGTATACAAATATATTTGAGACTTAAGGTTGAGAATTTATGCATCAGCTGACCATATCAGAAGAAATCCACACTTACAAGTTAAAGTATGCATGCTGTAATTTTATGAATTGTAGTTTTAAACAACAGTGTGTTGTTGGTATAGGCAGCCTATGTGATGCGTGTATATATCTTTAAATGAGTGAAAAACTGCACTGGCTTTAAGCACCATGGTAGCATCTCTATAAATGTATAAGTTGGGAGTTCTACAGGACATCCATTTTGGAGAAATATTCTAAACATTAGGTCTAATTTTAGTACTGAAAGGGGAAATTTGTTGTTTGTTAGTTTCTAAAAGCAAAAATAGCATGTCAAAAGTAGCAGAAGAGGAACTGTAAAATTTCACAGGGATGGTATGAGGATGAAAAGGTATTTGGTTATTAAAAAGTTGTAAGCCTGGTGCAGTGGCTCACGCCTGTAATCCCAACACTTTGGGAGGCCGAGACAGGAGAATCATGAGGTCAGAAGTTAGAGGCCAGCCTGACGAACATGATGAAATCCTGTCTCTACTAAAAATACAAAAATTAAATTAGCTGGGCGTGGTAGTGCATACCTGTAATCCCAGCTACTAAGGAGGCTGAGGCAGGAGAATCCCTTGAACCCAGGAGGCAGAGGTTGCAGTGAGCTGAGGTCGAACTACTGCACTTCCAGCCTGGGTGACAGAGCAACACTCTGCCTCAAAAAAAAAAAAAAAAAAAAAGTTGTAAGAAAACTTTATGATATTCCATTACAATACTTTGTATACTCGACAGTGGAGCATGTTACTACTCTGTAAATAGTTCGAAACTGAGTATTTCAGACTCCCGAGAGTGATACCTAAGGGGATTAAAAGTGGATTGGTAAAATAATTTATGTAGCTACTCCACCCTCAGGGAGGTGCAGCATAAATCCCTACTCTTTAAGTGTGGGCACACATAGTGGCTTCCTTCCAAGAGTATAGTATGAAAGTGGGGGAGTAAGTTGACAGTGGAGAAACCTGACAAACAGTACCTAGGCCAACAGACCAAGGTTAACATCAAGTGATAAGGCACGTTGATAGTATGTACCCTTGATATGATGTGATGGGGATGTCATTTTATCTCTGTAATCTTCCTACCAAGAACCCATAATTCTAGTCTAACATGGGGAAAGACACCAAATTCCAGTAGAGAGGCATTCTACAAAATACCTAACCAGTTAAAGCCAGGTCAAGACCTTCAACAACAAGAAAAGTCTGACACAGTCAAGAGGAATCTAAGGAGCTATGACGACTCTAGGTAATGTAGGATCCCACATGGGATCCTGGAGCAAAAAAAAAAAAAAAAAAAAAGGACGGGGTGGCAGGGGGGACATTAGGCAAAAAACTAAGGAAATCTGAATCAAGTTTGGACTTCAGTTAATAGTGATATATCAATATTGGCTCATTAATTGGAAGCAATGTGCCAAACCAATGTAAGATGTCAATAATAGGGAAAATTGAGTGGGAGTATGTAAAAACTCTCTGTACTGTTTTTGTAATTTTTCTGTAAATCTAAAACTCTTCTAAAATAAAAAGTTTATTTAAAAAGAGTGGATGGGTACTTTTGACAGACAACTACTACTCATTTGGTTAAGTCTCTTCTCATAGGATTTAGTTTATCACATAGGATTTACAAGGATCAATTACTTGCAATAACTGAGAAGCCAACAAGACACACCGTGGATTTATAATGTACTTTGACTAAAACTGGAATGATGAACTTGGAGGGAATCAAAGATAATGCCTAAATCTGTCTTTGTTATCATTACCTTAAGAAGGGAACAGTTGAGACCAGACCATGTATCCAGACATGGTAACTGACAATGGGTGGATCTGACTCACTGAGTCACATTTCACAGCTTATGCTATATAGGTAAAATTAACGGTGACTAAAAATGAAATTACTGACAAAGGTTGTTCCTGGACCATCTGAGATAGTCCAAGTACTGACTCGGCTTAAAGGAAATAAAACCGAAAACTCTTGATCTCACCCAAAATAACCATTCTGCACCCTGTCTGAACCTTGGGCTCTCTCTGCTAACCAGCCTACTCAAAACCACTACTGAGGGTGGTGCCCCGCTGCTAAGAAACAGACAACACACAGGGCCTTTCGGGCCACCAAACTAATAGCCAAGAAGGAGCCATCCACGACGCGGGCAGGATCCCCTTTGGAGCCCCCTGATCTTGACTAATCATCCATCCCTACAGAAAAAGCCAGTCGGGCTCCTGCCTTACGCTTGGACCCATTTTTAAAGCCAGGTCACTTCACCAACCTAGATACCTGTGCACTGGGAGGGTCTCTCACATCGCCTCGTACTTGAAGTGAAAATCAAGATTCAACGCTCCCCTAGAGTGGGAAGGCCCAGAGGCGCCTTCTTGGCTCAGCAGTTGCTCTTCCGGGTCTTGGTTTTGCGGGTAAAGAACGCAATTAGATAAAAATCGCTTGTCAGTTTGAAAGAGACTGGACACCCCGTTTCAGCGTTCATGAGATGAGAGGCACAGGAAATCCCCACGCGGGCCTCTCTGCTTCACGTGAGGAGGAAATTGTCACAAGCCTCTGCCTTCCTCAGGTCCCAATCGCATCGCATCCCCTGGCGGCCGCCCCCAACCCCCCTACAGTCCTTGGACCCCCCCGGTGTTCTCTCCTCCATCCCTTCAGCCCCTAGACTGCGGAATCCCGGGAACGCGACGTCGCGGCTTCTTTCCCCTTACTCTCTTCCTCCCTTCCGCTCCGCTAGGAGAACGAAGGGGCGCCGAGCGCGGGAAAATGGCGCCGGTCAGAAGGCGCGAAGCGTTCGCACGCCTGCGGCCGCGTGACACCAGGGCACCAGGCGTCCGCCTCCCACGCCCTCGCCCCGCCCCCGCGCGCGAGAATCAGAGCACGCACGCGTTCTCCTCTGCGTCCGCTCCCGAGGGGGCGACGGACGGGTAGGGGAGGTGACCCCGGCGTTCCGCTCGGCGCTGTGGAGGAGATGGGGAGGTGTTGGGCCAGGGCTGAAGTAGGAAGGAGACCGTCCCTCGACGCCTCCTGCGACGCTAGCCCCTGAGCCGCGATGCGAGCGTGGGTCCTCCTCTCCGCGGTGCTCTGGTGCCTCCCAGGAGGTGGGGCTCCCTCCGCCGGGTCCCCAGGCCTCTCCCTCGGCCCTGCCTCCTTCGCCTCGCCCTGCCCTGTCCTACTTGAACCCCGCTCCTCTTCTAACTAAAAAGTCAGTGATTTCTTTCCTCCGCAGTCGAATGCCCGCGTTCTACCTTATTCAACACGAAGGGCTTCATTTATGGCCAGCCGGGACACCCAGGTAACGAGGACCTCTGCACGCGGGCCCAGTGGAGGGGCCGGAACTGCGGAGCTCTTCCCGGAAGAGCTTCCCTGGAACCTGGAGGGAAGGGGAGCGAGTGAGCGTTTATTGAGCACCTGTTATACCAAGCATCTGCTTGGCAGTTCGCAAAGGTCGCATCTTTTCATCCTTACAGCGACCCCTGTTGAGTTGCCTTGCTAAAGCCGTGCAGCTCCCAAGGGGCTGGGATTCATTCCAAATTTCTTTCTCCGATGCCATCTCACTTCTAGGTGCCTCTGCTGCTTTGCAGCGCGGGAAACCCACTCAGAGGAGTGATTTCCAAGGTCCTCTGTTTGGAATATCTTTAATCCTCCCATTATTAACTGGAAAAACTTTGCGTCCTTCAAGGCTCAGCTCAAATGTCATTTATCTCTGCCGTGAAACTTTCCCAAGGAAAATTAGTCACATAGCTAATTTTAGATAATTTTGAGCCAGTTGATAGCATTTGTTACGTTTAGAATCCTTCCAGGTTTGGGTCCTCTCCCCGACCCCCCACCAAATTGTAGGACGTTGTCTTTATGTACTCAGAGCATGGCATTCAGTAGGCTTTAAAATTAGTATCTTTCTGGGTTGCAGTGATTCCAAGCATACAGTTCTTTCTCTACCAAACCAGAAACAAGAAGCAATCACACATGTTCCTAGTATACCCCAGATAGGCTTAATTATTGTTCCCAATGGAGGAAATTTACAGTTAAACATCAAGTTTCCCTTAGGGTGATCATGATCTTTTTTGTTTGTTTGTTTGTTTTTGATAGAGTCTCTCTCTGTCACCCAGGCTGGAATTCAAGGGCACAATCTCAGCTTACTGCAACCTCCCCCTCCCGGATTCAAGAGATTCTCCTGCCTCAGCCTCCTGAGTAGCTGGAATTACAGGCACCTGCCACCATGCCCAGCTAATTTCTGTATTTTTAGTACAGAGGGGGGTTTCACCATGTTGGCCAGGCTTGTCCTGAACTCCTGACCTAGGTGATCCACCCACCTCGGCATCCCAAAGTGCTGGGATTACAGGCATGAGCCACCAAGCCCAGCTGATCATCTTTTTTTTTTTTTTTTTGAGACGGAGTTTCACTCATGTTACCCAGGCTGGAGTGCAATGGCGCGATCTCGGCTCACCGCAACCTCCGCCTCCCGGGTTCAGGCAATTCTCCTGCCTCAGCCTCCTGAGTAGCTGGGATTACAGGCACGCACCACCATGCCCAGCTAATGTTTTTTGTATTTTTAGTAGTGACGGGGTTTCACCATGTTGACCAGGATGGTCTCGATCTCTTGACCTCGTGATCCACCCGCCTCGGCCTCCCAAAGTGCTGGGATTACAGGCTTGAGCCACCGCGCCCGGCCTCCAGCTGATCATCTTTAAAATAGTTTTGCTAAAGTCCTTTTCTGAACTTTTTTTTTTTTTCCTGAGAGGGAGTCTCGCTCTGTTGCCCAGGCGGGAGTGCATTGGTGCATTCTCGGCTCACTGGAGCCTCCGCCTCCTGAGTTCAAGTGGTTCTCCTGCCTCAGCCTCCCGAGTAACTGGGATTACAGGCCCGCATCACCATGCCAAGCTAAGTTTTGTTTTTTTTGGTAGAGTCAAGGTTTTGCCATTTTCCCCAGGCTGGTCTCGAACTGGACTCAATTAATCCGCCTCCTCGGCCTCCCAAAATGCTGGGATTACAGGTGTGAGCCACCCTGCCCAGTCCTTTTCTGAACTTTGAATTCCTTCCACCAATCCCCCAAAAAATTATGATTTGAGTGAGTTCTGAATGTGTACATTAAAATAAACTTTAAATGTATAATGTATATTTTTATAAACAAATATGGAAAAATGTTATGACTCATGATTAATAATGAGTTTAAAAAAACGTACTATGAGAAGCAACAACTTCAGATTAGCATTCTAAATGTTAAATATCGATTTTTTAAATAGTGAAATCCAACAATAATTTGTGTCTTCAAGACAAAATGGTAGGCATATATTTCTTAATTTAATTTTGCTATATAATGTAGTTATACATTATTTTATTTCATCACAGAGAAAATATATGTTAAGTTACATCAAAATAGCCCAGTCCTTATCTGTATGGATTTTAAGCTTGCTAAAAAAGAAGTAGTGGACCCCACCTACTTATGGATTGGGCCTAATGAAAAGACATTAACAGGTAAATCTGATTTTAATATGTTCTTTTTTAATGATGTGAACATATTTTTAAAAAATCACTATTGCTTATTAGAAAGAACAAATTGAAATTTAGTTTTAATGGCAGTTTCTCTTGCTCCCTGCTTAGACAAATCATGTTATATCTTGGCCACTTCTCTATTTTCTCCTCATGCAAAAACTGAAGCAGTAATTTTTGTGCCCTACGTCTCAGAGCTATGTTAATTCAAAGGTCTTTATAAAACCTAAAATTTATCATTGTAGCGCCAGTAACAGGAGATGACATAGCTAATATATAATTTTTCGTGATGTTAGCGTGCCTTGGTACATAAGTATTATTAATCAGTTTCTGTCTTGTCTGAAGAAATTGTATAGCACTACAGGGCAATGTAATCTCTTTTTCTGAATTATTGGTATGAACCAATTGGAACTAGATGCCAAGAAACAAAACAAAACAAAAAAACACAAAATATATTTCAAAAGTGTACTTTATCATGTAGTCTCCCACAGAGTAATATGACAGAATTAAGATTTTGTGGGATTCTTAAAGTTGAGATCGTTCATTAATTTGAAAAAATATTTGTATCTATTTGTAATTCCAAGTTTACTAAATAATGCTTGATACGTTATATGTTAAATAAGTAATTTACTATTCTGTTTAGGAAATAATCGAATAAATATAACTAAAACTGGACAGCTGATGGTGAAAGATTTTCTGGAGCCTTTGTCTGGACTTTACACATGTACTCTTTCTTATAAGACTGTTAAAGCAGAAACCCAGGAAGAAAAGACAGTAAAAAAGAGATATGACTTTATGGTCTTTGGTAAGAATTTAGGCACATTTTAACTTACACATTTAGTTTGGATCACAATTAAATGTTTAGTGTCTTCATTTAGTGAAAATGAGTCTGTAATAGGTGACTATCACTAATTATGACTTACAGAATATTTTGGGACATATTTGACTAGGCAAACTCTTAAATTGACATCAAGATAGTTTATCCTAAATAATCTTCCTTCAATTCCCCACTTGCCTCTGTCTAGATATGCAAGCACATCTACTTTACCACAATTTAGCCGGTAATTTCAAAACTGATCTTTTAATTCTGTAAAAGCAAGTTAACGATTCTTTCACTGGGCTGTGCTGACAGCAATGATACTTTCTGTGAATTAAGGCTCTCCCCAAAGTCTTTTTTTTTCTTGATACTGTTATCTATATAGCCGTCCCACAGAAGCCATGTCTCTTGTTGTGCCAAGTAGATAATATATCAGATGAAAATAACATTTTCCATTAAAGTTAGTAGTTTGGTGTATTTTTGTGAGGACTAACTGATAAAACATTTTATTAGATAAGTTTCTATGCTGATTGCAGTATTGACGGGATTAAGCATTACATGCTATTTGAAAATTGTTTGGTAGAGGAAATCAATGCTAGGCACCATTGTTTTCACTCTTATCTTTCTTTTTTTAAAGCGTATCGGGAACCTGATTATTCATATCAGATGGCTGTACGTTTTACCACAAAGTCTTGTATAGGGAGATACAATGATATGCTCTTTAGAGTGCTGAAGAAAATCTTGGATAATCTGGTATCTGATTTGTCCTGCCATGTCATAGAACCATCATATAAATGTCATTCTGTTGAAATTCCAGAACATGGCCTCATACATGAGCTATTTATAGCATTTCAAGGTAAAATTTTAACATTTCTTTAATTTTGAATTTAGTCCTGAACCATGATAATTTCAAAATTAATTACCATATTAATATGAGATATTTTTTAAGTAATAGGTATTAAATGTCTGTTAAGCACTAACGTATATAGTTGATCTTAGCCTGTTTACACTTTTAAAACTTAACACACTAATTAATTACTTTCAAATATGGCGTATTGTTGCTTCTTAAAAATCAATATCATTTTATTAATACAGCTTTTATGTAGCTAATATTTCACTTATAACTTCTTACAGAATTTTTAATAGTATTTTTGAAAATTTAGTAAAAGTAAATCACTAAACCAAATGTATTTCTATTCATTTTAAAGCCTTGTAGTTACTTGTATTAGCCCCCAGATGGAGTGAAACCATAAAGCATAAATTACTCAAATTGTGCACCTTGTTTTAGTACTAGGATTAGATGGTGGGACTAAACATGCCTGCTTGCACACTGAATTCAGCACTTGGACCTTTATTGAAATGTTTGAAACTTTTTAGAATCCCTTTGTGAACCTATCATTTTTTTTCTCTTCAGTTAATCCTTTTGCACCAGGGTGGAAAGGTGCTTGCAATGGATCTGCTGACTGTGAAGATATCACTAATCACAATATCGTCCAGGTGAGACTGTCATTTTAAGGAAGAATTATTTATCTTTTTCTTTTTTTAGAGACAGGGTGTCACCCAGGCTGGAGTGCAGTGGTACGACCATAGCAAACTGCAGCCTCGAACTCCTGGGCTCAAGTGATCTTCCTGCCTCAGCCAAGGAGGAAGTATTTGAAAATCAATAAAGCTATTTTAAAATTTTTTTGTAAATACTTTGTTTTCTTAAAACATTTCTTAAAAATCTATTTCTCCATCTTGTGAATATTTATCAATAATAAAGACATTTCTAAGGAGTAAATTTATTTTTTAAATATAAAGTATTAACATTGATTTTTTAAAATATTATTGATTTTTGGTTTCAGTTTTTTAAACTGAGATTATGAGATTCTTGGTTATTTCAAGATTTTTTTTTTTTTTTTTTATCGAAAGAGAGCTGGAGTATCAAGATGTGTTATTTTGGAATAGTAAATCTGGAACATTAGTTAGTTCCCAAGATTAGTATTATGTATTTTATCTATGACAGAAAGACAGATCCCTGGTCTTTGTTCCTCAAATGATGATTAAATAGTAGCTGAAAGGACGATTTCACAAATATGTTACTCTAGGTTAAGCCAATGCTGCTTCCAAAACTGTATCTCTATTGATCATAATAGTTGCTCTCCCCTCCACCATCCTCAGAGGCTAAAGACAGAGTCTTAAAATCCCTCCACACCCACATAAGCAGTGAAGAAAAAAAGAAAAATCCCTTCACTCTCTGGTCTAGTTCCTGAGCCCATATCCTGAATTGATGTTGTACATGGCTTATGAGAAACAGTTAACATTAGTTATTATTAAATTTTGTGTCAAAAACCCAAAATTTACATCATCAGTTTATAATGCTGACCAAAGAAAAGTGTTTTTTTGTTTTTGTTTTCGCTTTTTTTTTTTTTGAGACTGAGTCTCTATCTGTCACCAGGCTGGAATGCAGTGGCTCGGTGTCAGCTCACTGCAGCCTCCACCTCCCAAGTTCAAGTATTCTCCTGCCTCAACCTCCCGAGTAGCTGGGACTACAGGCGCGTGCCACCATGCCCAGCTAACTTTTGTATTTTTAGTAAAGATGGGGTTTCACCATGTTGGCCAAGATGGTCTCCATCTCTTGACGTTGTAATCTGCCTACCTTGGCCTCCCAAAGTGCTAGGATTACAGGCATGAGCCACCACGCCTGGCCAATTTTTCTTAACCATTGCACATATCAATTGACAACAGTTGATAAGGTCAAGCCTAGACTAATTTTGGTGTTAACACATACCTTTTCAGGAATTTATCTATGTAAAGTATGGCATGCTTATACTACATAATTGCCTCTGATACTGGAGGATAAATTTGGTTCAGGGTTTAGTAATTGTACCTCTCTCTGGTATTTTTACACCTTAGGCAAGAGATCGAATAGAAGAATTTTTTCGGAGCCAAGCATATATTTTCCACCATAACTTTAATAAAACTCTACCAGCAATGCATTTTGTGGACCACAGTTTTCAAGTAGTACGTCTGGATAGCTGTCGACCAGGCTTTGGAAAAAATGAAGGTCTACACAGTAATTGTGCTAGCTGTTGTGGTAATTACAAAATATAAATATCTAAATATTTAGGTTATATAGTCAGAAGAATACATGAGTAATTCACTTGGCATAACTGAATAGAATCTTTACACTGATTCTCTTACCAAAAAAATTATCTAAAGGGAAGTAAAAATTCAAAGCCCCAATTTATTTATTTATTTTTTTTTGAGACAGAGTCTCGCTCTCTTGCCCAGACTGGAGTGCAGCTGTGCAATCTCAGCTCACCACAACCTCCATCTCCCGGTCCAAGCAATTCTCCTGCCTCAGCCTCCTGAGTAGCTAAGACTACAGGCACCCGACACCACAGCTGACTAATTTTTGTAAAAAGTAGAGTTTCACCATGTTGGCCAGGCTGGTCTTGATTGAACTCCTGACCTCAAGTGATCATCCACCTTGGCTTCCCAAAGTGCCCAAAGAAATTACACATGTGGACTACCACACTTGGCCCCTTTTTTTTCTTTTTTTTGATATGGAGTCTGGCTTTGTTACCCAGGCCAGAGTACAGTGTGGCACAGTCTTAGCTCATGGTAACTCTGCCTCCCAGGCTCAAGCCATTCTTCAATCTCAGCCTCCCGAATAGCCAGGATTACAGGTGTATATCACCACACCTGACTAATTTTTGTATCTTTAGTAGTGATAGTGTTTCACCCCGTTGCCCAGACTGTTCTCCAATTCCTGAGCTCAAGCAATCTGCCCCCCTCGGCCTCCCAAAGTGCTGGAATTATAGGCGTGAGTCACAGCACCCAGCCAAAGCCCAAATTTCTAAATATACTTATTTTAATGTATATTAACTCTTCCTGATGTACTCTCTTGTATACATTTCCATAGTGTTCTGTTTTAAGCTACTGTACAATGAAGGAAAACAGAATGGTCCTACTTAGAAAGCCGAGAACTAGGAAATAGGAACTCATAAATGGAGTACTGCAGTAGATACTGTAAAATGCTGATAGTAAAAGAAAAAATAGGATTCTCACTTTCTCTTCTCTTTAAGATCATCAAATTATAAAGTTTGAAACTCATAAATAATCTTTTACAACTTAAATTAGCTGAACATTACTTGGTATAATATAGGCACTGAAATGATGTGATATTGAAGGCAGATTTATATTGTTGGTATAAAATACCTCCCAAGTTGCAGAAGCATGAAATACCTATAAATTATAATTATTCCATGTGTTTTCCTCTGCAGTGGTTTGTAGTCCTGGGACTTTTAGTCCTGATGTTGATGTAACTTGTCAGACCTGCATTTCTGTCCTTATCTACGGAGCTAAATCTTGCCCATAAACTTCAAACCGACAATATGAAGACTAGAGGTGAAAGCATTGTCACTTACTTGTGGAAGTGGGGGACATAAGATGATTTGTTCACATCCCAGAGGATCACAGGTAGTTCTATTAAGTAGAATCAGTAAGACCAAACCACTGGAAAACATGCATTTTAGAAACTTTTAAAAAAATGGTTAACTTGGCATTTCTAAGAAGGCATTTAATCCAGTATCTCCAGTGTACAAAGGAAAGTTGAAGTATTAATGGATTATTTTTAATGAAATGTTTTATTGTTTACAAACAATATGTTGCTCTGTACCTAAGAGTGTAGTAAGGTCAAGAAGGGTAGCAAAGTATAATAAAATAAAAATTTTATACTTTCTATGTATTTGTTTGGAATCACTCTTGTATGATATAAAGGCATGTATATTATCTTTGTATTAGAACCAAAAAAGTTATTTATTTTGGTCCCTTTGATTTTATTTTTTAAGATAATTAATAGACTATTTTTTAAAGTATAGGTTTAGGTTTACAGAATAATTGAGCAGATAATACATAGAGTTCCATATACCCACCGCACCCCATACCCTTATTCCTCCTCACACAATTTTTCCTATTATTAAGATCTTGCATTAGTGTGGCACATTTGTTACAAATGATGAACCAATATTGATTTATTATTAACTGTAGTCCATAGTTCGTTCTTTGTGTTATAAGGTTATGTGGGTTTTGACAAATTCATAGTGGCGTGTGTGCACCATTGCAGTTTCATACAGAATAGTTTCTGCACCCTAAAAATCCTCTGTGCTGCACTTATTTATCCCACCCCCACACACCCCCATCCCCGCCCCCACCCAGCCCTGAGCCCTGGCAACCACTGATCTTTTTACTGCCTCTACAGTTTTGCCTTTTCCAAAATGTCATGTAGTTGGTTGGAATTCTATAGTATGTAGACTTTTTGGACTGACTTCTTTTCACTTAGCAATAATTGGGACTCTTAATGCATTTAAGATTCCTCCATGTCTTTTTGTGACTTGATAGCTCATTTTTTGTTGCTGAATAATGATTACTGTATGGATATAGCATAGTGTGTTTATCCATTCACCCATTAAAGGAAATCTTGGTTGCTTCCAGTTTTTGGTGATTAAGAATAAAGCCACTATAAACACTTGTGTGCAGGTTATTGTGTGAATGTAAGTTTTCAACCCAATTGTGTAAATAACCTAGGAGTGTGAGTGCCAGAGTATGACTACATGTAGTTTTATAAGAAACTGCCATGCTGTCTCCCAAAGTGGCTTACCATTTTGCATTCCCACCAGCAATGAAAAAATATTCCTGTTATCCTTATCCTCCCCAGCATTTGGTATTGGCAGGTTTTTAAAATTTTGGCTGTTCTAATAGGTGTATGGTGATATTTTATTGTTTTAATTTATAATTCCGTAATGACATCTGATGTTGAACATCTTTTCATATGGTTGTTTGCCATCTGTGTATCTTTTTGGTGAGGTGTCTGTTCAGATCCTTTGCCCATTATTTAATTGGGTTATTTATTCTCTTATTATTGAATTCTAAGAATTCTTTGTATATATATATAGTTAATATTTTTGAAATTATGTTAAATTTTAAATTAATAGTTACTTTTAATGAAAAGTATAAATTATATGTCTAGATTCTTTTTTAGATATTGTTATATATATTTTATTGTAAGGTTTATATATGATATATATAGTAAGATTTGATATATATGATATGTATAGTAAGATTTATATACACACACACACACACACATATATATATAAATAAATAAATATATATATATATATATAGGAGACAGAGTCTTGCTGTGTCACCCAGGCTAGATTTGTATATTTTTGATACAAATTTGTGTGTGTGTGTGTGTGTGTGTGTGTGCGTGTTTGTGTGGTTTGAATTTTTATTTGTCATATGACAAATGATGTTAAGCATATTCTCATATGCTTATTTTCCATCTGTGTCTTTTAGTAAAATGTCTATTTAAATTTCTTGGTGAATGTTTAATTGGCTTGTTTGTTCCATTTGATTTTTAAGTTACAAATGTTATTTTATTTATGTGTGTGAGCAATTAGATTTCATTGTTTTAGATAAAATCTAATACAAATTTGGCTTTTAAATGCTTACTGAATAATGCCATTTTCCAGTAATTGTCATGTTACTGTTTGTATTACATGTCAAGTTATTATTTTTTATTGTGCTTTAAGTTCTGGGGTACACGTGCAGAACATGCAGGTTTGTTACATAGGTATACACATGCCATGGTGATTGGCTGGTGCATCTATCACCCCGTCATCTACATTAGGTATTTCTCATAATGCTGTCCCTCCCCCTAGCTCCCACCTGTGTGTCCCTGGTGTGTGATGTTTCCCTCCCTGTGTCCATGTGTTCTCATTGTTTGACTCCCATTTAGGAGTGAGAACGTACAGATTTTTTTAGTTAATCTTCCAATTTATTTTCTTAGTAACTTTAAAAGACATTACATTTATTAACACAATAAATTAAATACTATATTAATAGATTGCAACATATATGCATGTAACATATATGGCAATAAAATTACAAAAGACTAGCCAGGCATGGTGGCACACGCCTGTAATCCCAGCTACTCGGGAGGCTAAAGCTGGAGGATCACTTGAACCTGAGAGGCAGAGGTTGCAGTGAGGTGAGATTGCACCACTGCCCTCCAGCCTGGGCAACAGACCTAGACTCCATCTCAAAAAAAAAAAAAATTTACAAAAGACGAGAAAGTGAAGCAATGTTGAAGGCAAGTTTCTGTATTTTACTAGAATTAAGTTTACGTATTAATCTGAAGTAGACTGTGATAGGATAATATGCATTTTGCAATCACTAGCGCTACCACTAAGAAAACAACTGACATAATACAACTCAAAAACAGAAAAACTAAAAATCTACGCCAAAAAATATTATTTAACAAAAAAGAATCCAGTTAAAGGAAAGAACAACAAAAAGGGGAAATACAGAAAACAATTAGCAAAATGGTAAATTTAAGTACGATCATATAATTGTATTAAATGTTACAGCTCTAATAATGCAATCGAAAGGCACAAATTGTCAGAGTAAAAAGAAAAATTCAACCATTACTACCTGCAAAGGTATACATTAGATTCAAAGACACAAATAGTCCCAAAGTAGAAATAAAAAATATAGACACTATACAAGCAGGAACTATGATATAATTCAAGTGATTATATTGATATTAGGCAAAATAGATGTTAAGGCAAGTACTACTCTGAGAGCATGAAAGGGATATTTCATAATGAACACAGGTTAAATACATCAAGAAGAAATAATGTATCTGCACCTAACAATGGAGCTTCAAAATATTCAAATCAAAATGTAAAGAATTTTTTAAAAGGAAAACAGATAACTTATAACAATAATTGGCTATTTCAATAATTTACTCTCAATAATTGATAGAACAGCTGGTGCAAAAACCTTAAAGGATGTAGAAGACATAGACAACATTACCAACCAGCTTGAGCTGGCACCTGACAAGGTGAGAGAGGAGACATTTTTTTCTTTTTTTCTAAATTCTTAATTAAATACACATTTGCAAATACATTTTCACATTCTTCATGAAAAAAAAAAAACTTTACTCCTTCAGCTTTTCATTCCTTCAACAATGCCTTTCACAGAGAAGTTTTTAATTTTAATAAAGTGCACCTTAATAATTTTTCTTTCATGGGTCATGCTTTTATTGTCATATCTGAAAACTCATCGCCAAACCTAAGGTCACTAGATACTCCCATTATCTTCTAGAAGTTTTATAGTTTCATGTTTTATATGTAAGTCTATGATCCATTTGGCGTTAATTTTTATGAAAAGTATAAATTATATGTCTAGATTCTTTTTTTGCATACTGATATCCCATTGTTCCAGCACCCATTGTTCCAGCACCATTTGTTGAACAGACTGTTCTTCCTCCCTTGAGTAACATTTGCTCCTTTGCTCCTTTGTCAAAGATTAGTTGACCACATTTGTATGGGTCTATGTCTGGGCTCTTTATTCTGTCAATACCACACTGTTATGATTACTGCATAGTAAGTCTTACATTTGAGTAGCGTTAGTCCTCTGACTTTGTTCTTTAGTTTGGTGTTATTCTGAGTCTTTTGCTGCCCCATATAAACCTTAGAATAAATTTGTTGATAACCACAAAATAACTTGCTGGGAGTTTGTTTAGGATTACAGTGAATCTATAAGTCAAGTTGGGGAGAATTAACATGTTAACCATATTAAGTCTTCCCATCTATGAATGGAATATCTCTCCATTTATTTAGATGTTATTTCATTTCTTTTATTGGAGTTTTGTGGTTTTCCTGTACATTTATTATTATATTTATGCCTTAATGTTTAATTTTTATGCTAATATAAATGATATTGTGCTTTTAATTTCAAAGTCCAAGTGTTCAGTACTGGTGTATAGAAAGGCAATTGACTTTTGTATATTAACCTTATATTCTATGACTTTACTATAATTACTTAGTTCCAGGAATTTTTTGCCTATTCTGTGGGATTTTCTGCATTGACAATATCACCTGTGACAAAGGCAGTTTTATTTCTTCCTTTCCAATCTGTATACCTTTTATTTTCCTTTCTTATCCAATCAGCTAGGACTTTGAGTATAACGTCAAATAAGAGAGGGGATATCCTTGCCTCATGCCCAGTGTTAAAGAAAGGGAATGCCAGGCGCAGTGGCTCACGCCTGTAATCCCAGCACTTTGGGAGGCCAAGGTGGGGGATCACCTGAGGTCAGGAGTTTGAGACCAGCCTGACCAACATGGAGAAACACCACCTCTACTAAAAATACAAAATTAGCCAGGTGTGGTGGCGCATGCCTGTACTCCCAGCTACTCGGGAGGTTGAGGCAGGAGAATAGCTTGAACCCGAGAGACGGTGGTTGCAGTGAGCGGAGATCAAACCACTGCACTCCAGCCTGGGCAACAAGAGTGAAACTCTGTCTCAAAAAAAAAAAAAAAAAAGAAAGGGAAAACATCTAGTTTCTCACCATCAAGTATGATGTTAGTTACAAGCTTTTTGTAGACTTTCTTTGTTAAGTTTAAAAATCCCCTGTATTCCTAGTTTGCTGAGAATTTTGATCACAAATGGGTAGTAGATTTTGTCAAATGCATTTCCTGCATTTACTGATATGATCATATGATTTTTTCTTTAGCCTGTTAATGTTATGGATTACATTAACTAATTTTTAAATGTTGGACCAGCATTGCATATTTGGAATAAATCCTTCTTGGCTATGTGAATAAGTATTTTTATACATTGTTGGATTTCATTTGCTAATATTCTGTTAGGGATTTTTGCATTTATGTTCATAAG